TAAGAAACCTTCAAACCAAGAGGTACTGAACTGTCACAAAAGAACATGCAGAAACTGAACTTCAGTTAGGTCTAGCAATGGAGTGTAAATACCTTTTCATCTGCATGTAAATACATCAGTGCTTTGCTCAACTATACATGGATCCACTAATTTTATATAATCCTGATAAATATTTATTCTTTCCTTTGCCCTTTTGAATGGTGGGGCTATAGGCGTAGTCTTTGTCTTGCATTAGTAAAATATCATATTAGTAGTAACTGGTGTAATAATTACTAGTGGCTTCTTCTTAGGTTGATCTTGCTCATCTGTTAGCAGCTCGTGATCAGGAGTTGCGGACACTTTCAGCTGAGGTAAAATAATTTTTTTTGGGGTGAAATATGAGCCAAAATAAAGTTTCCTAAGAGAATAGGAGAAAATTGCAATTATTTTCTATATATTACCTATCAATGTAATGCATCCATTTTTGCATTCCAAGAATTTCCAAATTCTGATATATTTATTCTTAACTTCACTATTTTATTCTGTTTCAAGAATATATAGTTGACTCATGCCAATTTCAATGAGAATATTAGCACTTGGTGGGCAGAGAGTGTGCCTGTTGTGTGTAAAGGATTTAAGTTTAGAAAGAAGTTTCAGTTCCTTAAGAGCAAATATAAGGTATGGAATAAGAACATTTTGGGGATATAGGAATTGTGGAAAATAAGATTCATGCTGAGCGTTCCTTTCTTGATAGATTAGCTTCAGATAACCCTCTTAACAACGGCCTAGTAGCGAGATTTTCCTCCTTTATGATTCACTTTGAAGACATTCTAGTGAAAGAGGATATCAGTTAGATGCAAGAAGTCAAGATCTAATTTGATTTAGGATGGGGATGCCATTACTAGTCTCTTCCATAGAATGGTCAGTTGCAGGAGGAAGAGCCATACTGAGGAGTCAGAACTTGAGGATGGTAGATTCGAGAGAGATCAGAAGGTGATTGGTTATGCGATCAGATGTTTACAAGCAGTTGTATGAGGATGAAACTGTCAATAAACCTTAATTTGGAATCTTCATGGTGTCCAATTGATGGGGAGGGCAAGTTGGCTTGAGAGACCTTATGGTGAGACAAAGGTTAAGAAATTTTTTTTGGGCTCTCAATGTGAACGAGGCTCCTCAACCAGATGGTTTACTATGGCTTTCTTATATAATTGTTGGGATGTGGTTAAGGGGTAACAAAGTTAAGATTTTTGAGGAGTTTCACTTAAATGGCAAGGTTGACATTAGCATGAACTCTACTGTCATAATGTTGGTTATCTAGAAATATCACTTCATTAAGGTTTCTGGTTATCTCTTTATAAAGCTTGGTCACTAGTGTTTATAAGATTATTACTAAACAAAGTGCTTTGATTGAGATTGTATGAGGTACTTGATGAGACTATTTTTTGGGGACCAGATTTCTTGTTAGTAAATTCTTGATGCCTCTTGTTAGTTTATGAACAATATATCAACCATTTTACTATCAGCTTAAGCTCTTGGAAAAATAGGTTCAACTCTATTATTTAGTATGGTATCAGAATTAGAGATTTAATATGATACTGATGAGAAATGGTAGTTCACCAAAACATTGTCAAGACCGCATGGGAAAGAGGAATGGAAGAAAATATATGTGGGAAGAGATAGATTCCAGGAGTGTATTAAATGGAGGGTAGACAAGGGTCACAAAGTCCACTTTTAGCACGATCTTTGGCTGGATTGTGGCTTTCTCATAGAATGATTTTCCCAGATTTTTGAAATATCACAATAAAAAGATATTTTGATCAGTGACTGGTCCAAAGATAGTGGAAGTGGGGTTTTGGAATGGCAAGTAGATGTAATAAAAAACCTGAATGATTAAAAAGAGATTTTAAAGTACAAGAATCTTATTGCTTCTTTTTCTTACCACTCTGGATGGAAGCAATGATCAACTTTTGTGGAGCCTTACTTCTACAGAAAGTTTTTTCAGTCAAATCCTATAAGAAGTTCTTGACTAAGCAAGAAAGTCATGGTTTGAATTTTCTTTTTAGACAAATTTTCAAGGTTAAAGTTCCTCCTAGAATAGCTTACTTTGCATGTGTGGCCGAAAGGGGATGAATTCTAACTATAGATAAGTTGATGAGGAAGGGAATGAATATGGTGAATGGATGTTACTTATGTAGAAGGGCTGCGGAATTTTGCAATCATGTTCTTTTATGATGCCAAGTCGAGCGCAAGCTTTGGTCAACAATGTATGGGTTGTTGGATATATGGTGGGT